ATTGGGTATATCCATATAATAGAATACTAGTCATCAATACTTGCAAAAATGTATATATAGGTAACACCTGTAAAAACTTGAATAGATCTCAAATGTATTCTGCTGAGTGAAAGAAATAATTCTCAGAAGGTTAAATACTATATGAATCCATCTCAATTATATATATCCATATATATATGGATATATATAATTGATATATATATGTATATATGTATGTATGTAGATAGAAATAGATAGATAGATAGATAGATAGATAGATAGATAGATAGATAGATAGATAGATGGAACAGATTAGTGGTTGCCAGAACTCATTGGAGGATGTGACTATAAAGAGATAGAATAAAGGAATTTTTTTGAGGTGACAGAAATGTTCTCTAACAGTATTATGTTGGTGATTACATAAAATTATATATGATATAATTAATAAAATTATACACACAAAAAAATAGGAGTCCATTTTTAAAGTATCATAATTTTAAAAATTATCCAAAACAAAAAAAATTTAAAGGTATATTTGGTAATTCTTGATTTTTCAAATTGCTCTCTATTTTTAGTTATTAAAAATACATTACTATTTCCAACCAGCTGTGTTATTGATGTAATTGCAACATAAAAATAAATCATACCAAAAGTCCTATTTTTGTTTAAATAAATATATATATTTTTGTTTTTACTACAAAAATAATTAAATATAAAATTACAACCCTTTTTTGCTATTGGTGAAGTGGAGTTCCTGGGGTGCTGCAAGGAAAATAATTTCCTGAGGCTCCACAGGAGGATGGGGCTTTATTGATGATGGAAAATTAAGGAGTTTCCCCTCCAACATCCCATCTCTGTCCATCTCACCATGGAAGAAGTCCCATCTGTCTTCAGCAGGGTCAGTATTAAGGCCACTGCCCAGAATTTCTGTTCCATATTCAAGTCCAGCCCAGCATCTGGCTAGGTTAGCTCATGTTCCCAGCAGCAGTCCATTGTGTGTAGGGTCCACATGGCCATGGGCCATGCAGCTCCCAAGCCACATGGCTATGGAGAGAGAACAAGTGAGTGTATGGACAAGTGCAGGTCACAGGGCAAGAGAGAACTGAAGCAAGAGCACAAGAAGAGAGAATTTTGGGGGGATTTTAACCTTCCAAGATTTTGCGTGCTTCTAATGGGGTTCACCTTATAGCTAATCCACTATTCCCCAAGCTAGACTGCTAAGCAAACACCTTTGCTATGTTACACTGACTTCATTGCACATGTGTCCATCCCCCCCTTTGTTCAATCCCTTCCCCCAGTGATCTGTAGGATATGGACTGGTGGTTCCCTGGAGAGTGTTAAGCTGTAGCTTCCTGGTGAAGCGGCCCAGATGACCATGCTTATAATGTCTTGCCTCCCTTTTTCTCTCTTCCTATTATTAATGTTAATAAACTAGCTAGTTATCACAATAACATTTTATTGTTGTTCCCATACACATTTTCCCCTTTCACTTTAACCCAAGAATAACTAAACCTATAAAAAAAAACAAAAATGCCATTTCTAATATCTTTCTACACTAAAAAATTCTGTGCCCATTGACCAATTTACTCATTTGCATGTATAAAATATGGCAATTCAATCCAGTTTGTCTCTAAATAAATGGATCATATCAATGTATAATCTGTTGTTATTACAGGAAACTTGAATTTTAATGAACCCTGTTTGATTTGGATGAGTCAAGACAGGCATAACACAATTGAGTCAATTAGCCAGAATTTTGCAATCAATGTTGATTAAGAAAATAGGATGATGCTATGTGCATAATTTGGAGGCATTCCCTGGTTTGAACATTAATATAATCGGATCAACATTACTTTGAATGAAATGATACATATTTTTGATACATGGAAATATTAAACTGTATACCTTTTATTATACATGACTGGAAATCCATTTAAAGCAGATCTAAGAAAGAACAATAAATTGCTCTGCTTTCATCTTCTAGTACAATATAACCATTAAATCTGCTATTGCGCAACATGCAATGAAATAAATCTAGCATATGCTACATAATTACCATAATTAGATTTTTGACCTATACATCACTAATGGGTATATATCTTTGCTTTGGAGTTTTTTATTTTTAAAATGTAATTTACACATTATATATGGGTACTGTTCTGTTATTGTTACAGACATTTTTCTTTTGGAGAAACAAATGCCTTAGGATTAGAGAAAAAATGTGTACACGTTTTCTATGTATTACTCTTTTTTTTTTTCTTTTTAACATCACCTGTTTTTCTCACTATTTACTTTTATAGTATTAATTGTATTGTAGATAGTATTGTAGTTAATTGTATTTTGCCTTCTCTTAATGTTCTTTTAAAGTATAGTTTAGTTAGCCCTTTATCTTATGTCATTTAATGGTCTTTTATTAATGATTTTGGGATGTTACATGATTTCATGCGGCACACAGTTGAATATTGTATGTGAACTTCCTTTGATAATAAAGTCTTCAAAGAAATAAAATCAATGTGTTTAAAATTAGAACTCATACCAGACAAGTGAGTCACAATTTATATTAACTCATGTAAAACAAAGATTTAACAAATTGAAATATGTCAGGATTATCCTGAGAGAGTGATTTAAAAATTAAATATGTTAAACATAAAGTAGATCAGAATCATAAGCTATTTTGAGGGGAGAATACATTTTTATTACATAAATGTGTACCTGCCACACATCAAAACACTTTTTGAGTAATTCTTCTTGATCTGATTTTATTTTTCTATGTAATTTAGAATTCTTCAACCAAAATAACTAAAAATCGATTAACATTTTTTCTACTTATCATTGGAAATCATATTTGTTTTTTAAAATATTCTAAAGTATTATGAACACCATTTTAAATATCATTATGTGCATTCTCCACATTAACATCCAAGAGATATAGCAATATTGCCTTTGTCATATAAACTGAAATGTTCTATTTTTAGAAGCTTTTATATATGATAACTTTTCATTTATTTTCCCAGTAAAAAGAATTATAGCGCATCTTATGTTACATCTAAATAATTACTTTTGTAAAATAATTAATCAGGGGGTCTAATTGCATCTTTACTATAACCCTACCCCAGAAACTATTCTCAGAAAATTCTTGCTATATTATCAATTTTTATATGAATTATCCATAAAACTATGATTTATTTAAAGACACTGAGCACTAGTGCAATTTCAGGGATGAGAAAACAGCTGATATAGAGCATAGTTTTTAAGTAATTTGCAATATGCTGAATATTTCAAAAAGTAAAGCACCACGCTATTGCGGAAATAAATACACAACAAGAAAATTTGTTACAAGAAATCTTTGAAGACTCTGAAGAATATCCTTATCTTAAAGACAACATATATCTAGGTCTTGTTTTCTTATCCTAACAATAAACCTGTCAATTTCTGTCTTTTAACTGATGTAGAATATTCATATTTAAGGTGATTGCTGATAAGATTGAATTAAAAAGTAATTATCTTATGTGTCTTCAATATGTTTTATTTGTTCTTTTTTCTTTTACCCTTTTTTCTACCTTACTTAGGTTTAACAGAGCATGTTTTATTAGTTTCCCCCCATAATTATTTATACTTCTTTTTAAGAAAGTTGTTATGCTAGTTTTATTATATACATATTTAAATAATCTGAGTTTGTCATCAACAATTATGATTCCACCTTAAGTATAATGTAAAGATTTTCAACAGTATTTCCCAGTTCCTCCTTCCCATACTTTCTTATACATTCACTTTTACATATACTATAAAAACACAATTGTTACCATTTTTTGCTTTAAGCATTCTATTATCTTTTAGAGAAATTAACACTATATAAATGGTTTTATTTTATCTTTATTTTCTCCAATTTCAAATTTTCTTTAGCTCTTGGCTTTGATTTCTGTTTCTGTGATCTGTGTCATATTCCCCCTACCTGAAGAACTGCCTTTAACATTTCTAACAGAGTATGTTTAGGTCTACTGACAATTAATTCCCTCAGTTTTATTCATGAGTAACTTTTTATTTCTGCTAGATTTTTAAAAAGTATTTTTTAAACTATTCATACAATTCTGGTTGACTTGTTTCTTTTTTAGCAATTTAACAATTTTACTACATTGTCTTATTGCTTGCATGGTTTCCAAAAAAAAAAAATCTGAATTCTTATGCTTGTTTTTTGTATATAAAGAGTTTTTCTTTGCTTAACTTCAAGATTTTTCTCTGTATCTCTGGTTTTCAATTTGAATATAACATATATGGTCTTCTCTTTAGCATTCATCTTGCTTTCTATTCTTCAATTTTATTGAAAATGTGGTTTGATATCTACTTTCAATTTTGGAAATTTTTTGTCATTATTTCTTTAAATATCTCTTGTGGCTTGTTTTCTCTTTATTTTCTTTCTCTCATACTGATTTTATGCATGTCAGATAATTTTACTTTGCCATATCTTGCATATACTATATTCTAATATTTTTCTTTCTGTACATTTTGGATTAGGTCATCTTTTTTCTCTCAACTCTGTCACATATAGCAATGAGCCTGTGCAGGGCTACTTCATTTCTATTATTGTGCTTTGATCTCTAGCATTTCTATTTTCCTATTCCTTATTATTTATTTATTTATTTATTTATTTATTTATTTATTTTTGCTGAACATATCTATTTGATTATACATATTGTCTAATGTATGTATTGGAGCCTTTGACATATTTATCATAGTTATCTTAAATTCTCTGATTGTTGTAATATCTATGACACTTTTGATTTTGGCCGTAAGAATTATTTTGTGTTCAGACAGTGTTTATTCTTACCTTTTTGCATATGTTATAAATGTTTTATTCAACTTAAAAATCTTGTCAAAAATGGTGAATAACCAAAGTTAAGTGAATAAGCTTTTGCTTGAAATGAGTATATCTTCTTCTAGAGCTTTAGTATGGGGTCCTGTACGCATCTTATCATGAATTTGGAGTTTTTATCAATATATGTTAAAAACAAATTGGAAATCAATGGTCATTACCAAGGCTTTTAGAATGCAGCTTCTCATTTGCTATGGACATGATCACAAAATATTTTCCCATTAGGTTGTTTTTTCTGCTACGTTGGTAGCATTCAGCTTATTGGGAACATTTTCTTAACCCTTATTTTCATTGTCTAGATTAGCACTATCCAATATAAATATAACACAAGCTATATGTGATTTTGTAATAGCCATTGGTAGTCAGTGAGATTTTACACAGTTGCCTTAGATCTCTGGAGTCTTGCAGATGTCTTCTGTCTAGCTAACCCTCTATGTTGCTAGAGACCAGATAGTTTGTGATCACATGATCATCTCTATTTCTGTTACATAGGACTGACTGAAATGACCACTGGATTAAGAAAAAAATGGATTAAGAGTCAAACTCGGGAGAAACTAAGGCAGTGTGTGTGTGTGTGTGTGTGTGTGTGTGAGTGTGAAAGGACTCAGAACATGTGAAATTCCTTAAATAAAAATGTATTAACTTTAAATAATTGTGCCTATGTTAAAATAATAAAAACCCTTTACATTTTTTGTAAAATAAAAATCATAAATCATTGGAATATGATATTCTTATCTTCTAGAAATTATTGGCAATATAAGATAAAGCAATGCTAATTTTTTTAAAATATATTTTTATTGATTTTTCAGAGAGAGATAGAAATCTTGATGTGAGAGAGAAACATTGATCACCTGCCTCCTGCATGCCCTTTATTGGGGATAGAGCCCGCAACTCCAAGCATGTGCCTTGACTGGGAATCAAACCCGGACCGTTCAGCCCACGGGACAATGCTCAATCCACTGAGCCACATGGGCCGAATAAAACAATGCTAATTTTTAAATTCTGAAAATATTTTCTGTATCATATGACTAATTTATAATGTAAAAAGGTGGTATACCACCCTGGCCAGTTTGGCTCAGTGGTTGAGCTTCAGCCTAAGGACCAGAGAGTTCCGGGTTCAGTTCCCACTAGGGGCACATACCACAACAAAAAAAAAAAAAAAAAAAAGGTGATATACTTTCTATTTTGCACTTGAAAATAAGATAAGTTGATATCTGGGCTTCCATATTTTTAGGTTGGGCAATATACAAACATATTGTTTTAATATTATACATGCATTCCTTAATTATAAAACTGAGGTATACATTACCATGAAATATCTGTTAATACATATACAAAGGGGAAAGGAGATGATCCATTATTCGAAGGCCTGAGTAATCTATTGTTATAATATTAACACATTTTATTGGGATATAAATGATATTAAACATTAATTTTATATGTACAACATAATGATTCAATATTTTATACACAGGGTAAGGCAAAAGTAGGTATACAGTTGTGAAACACAGAGCTTATTCTATTAACTGTTGTATCATTTTCCATATGAACAAATGTAAACCTACTTTTGCCCCACCCTGTATTGCAAAATGATCATCGCTATAACTCTAGTTAACTTCCACCACCACACATAGTTGCAATCATTTTTTTTGTAATAAAAACTTTTAAGATCTACTCTTTTAGTGGGGAGATAGAGGCAGGTTAGGCAGTAAGGGACAGGACCATGGGAAGAGAAGGCTGAAACATGTGGAGAAGTTTGAGTTGACTTGGAGCTCAGCACACAGGCAGTATACCTCAACCCAGTATATAGTAGATCTGGAGGTTTAATCCAACTCTACAGATCTCAAAATAAAACTAAAATCAACATGGGAAATTGTGCTTCCAAGACCAGCAACTCCCAGTCCCCATTCATAGAAATGCAAACTGAAGCTCCTGGAAGGAGCACTTGTCAATTACATAACAACAACAACAAATCAGAAAGGCTGGTTTTAGGCAAGAGTAGAACAGCAATTGTACTCATTCCTTTTTCTGGGACCCTGATGGATTTGCAAATGAATTTTATTTACTATTAAGTAATACAGTGCTGGTGAGTCTGAGTCTGACCTATTCTAATTAATATACCTGCTGGTTTCTGGGAGCAAGGCAACAGGATTGCTGAATGAGTTCCGCTGAAAAACTATAAAGTAAGTTTCAAGTGCAGAAAGACAGGTTACTTTTAAAAAGATTATGGGAAACCAAAATTGGATTTAGAAAAGAAAGCAAAAGCAAACAGGGTTGCTCCAAAGGTGTTTCCCCTCCTCTTTGCTATGTTACTAAAGCCCCTATAGATACCTGGGGCTACTTTATTTGTTCTTAACCACACCCAACTAAGTGTCTCTTCCCTGGAAGTAAAGCTTCTGTGAAAATTCAAGAGTAGCTATTCAATGTCTGTTTTTATTTATTTATTTTTCCTTCAAATCTTTATTGTTGGATGTAAAATGTATTACAGATGTTCCACATTTTTCCCCCATTGACCCCCTCCTCCCCCCTCCCGCCCCCCTCCCACCTTTTCCCACACTATTGTCTGTGTCCATTGGTTATGCATATAAGTTCTTTGGTTTATTTCTTCCCATCCCCCCAAGCCCTTTCCCTTTGAGGTTTGTCAGCCTAGCAATGAATTTGTGCTTCTTAATCCCTTCACCTTTTTCACCCATTCCCCCAACCCCCTTCCCAACTGGCAACCAACAAAATGTTCTCTGTATCTATGAGAATGTTTCTGTTCTTCCTGTTCATTTTGTTTGTAGATTCCATTGTTGATAGATATGTATTCATTGCCATTTTGTTTGTTCATACATTTTATCTTTTTCTTCAAAAAGACCCTTCATCATTTCATATAATAACGGTTTGGTAGTGATGAACTCCTTTAACTTTTTCTTGTCTGGGAAAGTGTTTATATGTCCATCAATTCTAAATGACAGCTTTGCAGGATAGAGTAATTTTGGTTGTAGGTTCTTGGTTTTCATCACTCTGAATATTTCTTGCCACTCCCTTCTGGCCTGCAAAGTTTCTTTTGAGAAATCAGCTGACAGCCTAATGGGTACTCCCTTGTAGGTAACTAGCTGCCTTTCTCTTGCTGCTTTTAATATTCTCTCTTTGTCTTGAACCTTTTGCATTTTGATGATGATGTGTCTTGGTGTGTGCCTCTTGGGGTTCATCTTGTTTGGGACTCTCTGTGCTTCCTGGACTTGTACGTCTGTTTCCTTCACCAAGTTAGGGAAGTTTTCTGCCATTATTGTTTCAAACAGGTTTTCGATTTCTTGTTCTCTCTCTTCTCCTTCGAGCACCCCCAAGATGCGAATGTTGGCACGCTTGAAGTTGTCCCAGAGGCTCCTTACACTATCCTCATTTTTTTGGATTCTTTTTTCTTTTTGCTGTTCTGATTGGGCATTTTTTGCTTCCTTATATTCCAAATCAATGGTTTGCTCCTTGGATTTACATACTCTATTATTGAAGCTGTGTAAATTATTCTTTATTTCAGTTAATGCCTCCTTTAATTCTGTGTATCCATGATTTCTAACTGGTCCTTTTTTATGCTCTTGAGGCCCTCCCTAAGTTCACTGAGGTTCTCACTAAGTTCATTGAGCATCCTTATAAGCAGTATTTTGAACTCAGTATCTGTTAGGTTGCTTATCTCCCTTTCGCTTAGTTCTTTTATTGGGGTTTTGTTCTGTTCTTTCATTTGGGACCTGTTTCTTTGTCTCCTCATTTTGGCTGCCTCCCTGTGTTTGTTTCTGTGTATTACTTAACGAGAGGTATGGGGCTCGCTGAGACCGGATGCTGCTCGTTTGAAAGAATTTAGGAAAAACTTGAAGCAGGATCCAAGACCGGCCAATCCTATGGTTAAGCAAGTGGCAACAGCTTGGGTGGGCTTGAAAGTTGTGTGGGGCGGGGCCTCAGGGAGTCAGCAGGGCGGGGCTACCAGTGTGAGCCAGGTTGCTGGAGTCCCAGATATGGAGACTGTCTGCCGCCCCCGGGAAGGGCTCACCAAAGGAACAAAGGCCCCTTACAGCACGTTTGTCTCCGAGGAAGCCCCCTCTCCAGCCCTCGCTCCAGTGCCAAACAGCTCAGTTCTTCCCTGTATGTCTCTGGCGCCCCTTGAGCTGCCTTCCCTCTGAGCTTAGAGGAAGTGAGTCCGATAAGTCCGTGTGCGGGCCCTTTAAGGAGCTGCCTGGGGCTCCAGCCGCTTCAGCCTCCCTGAGCCTCAGTTCCCGCTGGTTTTTCCAGCCAGAAGTTATGGGGATTCTCTTCCTGGCACTGGAACCCTGAACGGGGCACCTGGTTGGGACAGGGACCCCTCAGTCCTCAGGAAGGACCTTCCCAGCCGCGGGAGCCTCCTGATTTTTATCCACCACGCTTGGGTGTGGGACCAGCCCGTCTCCCCGCCTCGCGCTGCCCGTCCTACCAGTCTGGATGTAGCTGCTTTTTTTTTTTTTTTTTAAATTCCGTAGTTGTAGTTGTAGGACTTCCATTCAGCTTGATTTCAGGCGTTTTTGAATGATGGTTGTTCTGTAGTTTAGTTGTAACTTTGATGTGGTTGTGGGAGGACGCGATACCGCGTTTACCTACGCCGCCATCTTGACCGGAAGTCCAATGTCTGTTTTTAAATCAGAACCTATCTACTTCCAACTAGGGAATGTTGTAGGACAATATATATCTTTGCTAATCAAATCTACCCCAATTCACCTGCTAGGGCAAGCTTTTTTTGTTTTATTTATTTTTTAATCTTCACCAGAGGACATTTTTGCATTTATCTTCAGATAGAGCGGGAGGGAGAGCGGGAGGTAGAGACAGCAAAACATCAATGTGAAAGAGACAAATCAACTAGTTGCCACCCACATGACCCCAACCGGGGTGGGGGACAAACTACAACCAGGGTACATGCCCTTAGTGGGAACCGAACCCGGGTCTCTCTGGTCCAAGGGCCGAAGCTCTAATCCCTGAGCCAAACCGGCCATGGCTAGAGCAAGCTTTTTTTTAAATCAGTGATGCCCACATATGCTTTTTCTAGAAGGGTAATATGAATTTAGAGCTAAATGACCTAGGGTGAAATCTAGTCAGGTGGAAAACACAAGCTTTAAAACGTATGGATGTTGCTAAGGCAGAATTCCTTGAAAAGACCAACTGGAAGCAAGCAAGGCATATATCTATCCCTAGCAACAGAGGCCCAAGGGCAATCCACTTGCGTCCCCTCTCCGCTGCAGGGAGTCTGTCTATTTTTCAAATAAACTTTGCTT